AAAAACATAGCCAAAGAAGCAGAATGTCATTATTGGCACATTTCTATCATTATTTACAAGCTTTATCAAAACGTCTAGTTTTATACAGCCTAATATTTGCATTTGATTAAATCCATAACTTATTGTTCTATAAAGTTGGAAGGATAAGATTGAGTCAGCTGGGCCCAAATTTAAATATTTAAATTGATTCCACTCTAAGATGTTCATTGAGCCAGTCTACTCCAAGTTACTAATGTCTATAAACGTACCAGATATTAGGCATTATTTTTTCATGGGTTTTACGCAACAAACAGAAAATTGAGCTCTGTTTAACCGACTCCCTGCGTTAACTCACCTGGTTGCCAAAAACTCCAATGGAGCAGGCGGTGGAAACCTCATTCGCTCCGAACCACACCGACGCCAGGCGGGAGGGCATCCCGAGGATGAAAACCTGGGCAAAGGAACTCATAAACTGTCCAAGCATGGTGACCCAGAATAGGCTCGGTTTGACACTGGCCACCTTTATCCACGTCCCGGCGCAGTTGAGCGCATTCGCAATCAGCGCTGTGACCCGCAGTCCCTTAATATCCAGGAGCCAGGTGACTGGGAAAATGAAGGGGATGTATGTGAGCATGTAGACCATAGACAGCCAGTCCACGGCGAAGGCTTCCACCTTGTAGAACTTCATAATTATGTTGCTGATGATCGCGTATTGGATCCATTGGTAAGCGTTAATCAGAGAGTAAGAGCTGAAGAGGAACACTATCATCCATCGCCTCGTGTATAGACGCGTAGTGACCCCCAAGTCGTTCTCCCTGTTTATGATCCCGCTGTGTTCAATGGGGTCCGCGGCAGCTGGACCTATTACTCCCATGTGTGGACCATTCTCCGTTGTATCCGGAGCGCACCTGTCCCCCATTATCTGCTCCAGAAATGAACTGAACTGAACTGAAGCACAGCCACCGCGACACTAACCTACTTAAGATGTCCTTTAAAAAAGAAAAAAGAAAATAGAAAAAAAAACGAAAATAGGAGGGGAAAAAAACCCAAGTATCACTTTCGTTCCACGTGACACTGCCAAAAACCATTCAGCTGTCGGACCTCCTCTGTGCCTCGAACCCCTTTAGACTGATCAGCCTTTAATTGAGATGTCTAACCGGCTCTTGAGTATATTGAGCTTTCTGAGAAATTCCCTTTGAAGAACGTGTTATCACCGACTTTTACTCCACCCAGCTGTTGAGATAAGAAATGACAGTGGCTGTTCCTCGGGAGCTCTGAGAGAAACCCTCAACATGACAGAGCAGAGATAACCCCTGAAGACGACACAGTGCAGTCTGTCTGAGCTGCTCATGTCAGTACTGTTGCATGTTTCGACTTCATCCCCTGTTGCAACACAGCAAATTATCACTATGCCGCAAAAAAATACCCACTCGGAGCTCAGCTAACTTACAGTAACGTTGCTGTCAGCCTACTTCTCTCCTGAAGCTTTAGTTCCTTTTGCCTCAGCCACTGCGGTTTTAATCTGCGTGTTAAATCCCCTCTGATAACAACAACGGGCGTCTTTGTGCTTATTTCTTCGCGCATGCTGAGAATTTGGTGTTTTTCTTATTTCAATCATTTAAAAAATGATTTACATGTCTAAACCAAACGATGGTCCAAATTTAATCTAAAGTAGTACTTTATTATTATTGCACATTAGTTACTACTGGACCTACAGAGAATCCATCACGACTAAAAAAGGTGGAGAGGTATGGAGCAATATATTATAGTTAATACATTTTAAGTAGTTTAAAGATAAATAAGTGTGCCTCTTGGCAAAGGCACACTTAATAAAGCAGGAAGGTTAATGAGCTGTGCTGCAGCTCACCACGAGATGTCAGAGTTTACCAGAAACTTTGCTCCTGAAACTTTTTTTTTGTGCACAAAATATTATTATAAAACGTCTTCCATTTTGCAAGACTCAAAAAAATATTATTCAATAATTTTAAAAAAAGAAACTAGACATTTATTTCTTAAGGAAATACAAAATGGGATTTTGTGATAGCTTATATGCTTATATAACACCATATACAAAAGAATAAAAACATAAACATAATTGCTAGTAACAATATGGTAACAGAAAATAAAGTACAATGTAAACACTTGTGTATATATATATATATGTGCATACATGACGCCTGCGCCAAAAAAACAATGGAATAAAGAAAAAATGTTCAGCTGCTGTGCCACCAAATGAAAAATGCTTGAGGTTATTTATGCGATACAAGGACTTCTTTGACTGTCGGTTTATACAGAAATTGGTTACTTTAAAAAAAATCATCTGTATGTGATGGTTAATGTATTCCAGTAGTTATTTTTTTTATACATATATAACTATTTCCCCACAGATTTCAATGATATTTCTACAATTCCCTGGATGTATTTTAACAATTGAAGGACAGTCAAGGTCACATCATGCTGCAAAGATGTCTATTTGTAGCCTGATAACTTACAAACACTGTCTCTTTGGGGTATCGCCTCTGCCCTGCATGGAAACAGTGACTTAGTTTCATCCCACACAGCAACAAATAATCATCTGTGCAGCTGACTGATCGAATGCAGTTCTGCTTTAGGGTTAACTACAAAAAAACAAAACAAAAAGCATTAAAACACAGGTGTAATTACTGGAAATATATCAAAGTAATGCCTCGTGTGTGGCTTGTAATTCTACCAAAAGTTGTGCTGTGTTTTTTTTCTTTACTTTCACACTAATTGTGGCTGGACCTGTGAAGACGAGAATGAAGAATAAATGAAAAAGCAAGAAGGAACAATTAAAAAAACAAAAACAAAAAAAGACTATGAAAGAAGATTGATTTAACTGCCAAAACAGTGTCTAAGCACAGTGGATCCACATTTTGTGGCGTAGCGCTCAGTGGCTGGTTCTCCTCCACGACCGAGGCCCCAAACGTAAGTGCTGCTAGTTTGCTGCTTCTTCCCAATCGTAAACTGTAGGAACTTGCACTACAACCTTCACTTGGCCTCCAGCTGCTGCAGCAGGGGGCTCACCTCATCCTCCGGAGTTTTGACACTGTCTGTCCTGACAATACACGTGGGGCGGTGGCGGTTGAGCATGAGGATCAGCTGCTGTCGTTCAAGCTTCAGCTCCTCGATCTGGGCTTTAAGGTCGGAATTTAACATCTCTAGCCTTTCCGACTCCTGCCATGGGATTGAAAGGAAGACAAAGTAATAATTGTGGAAAGAGTGAGACACAAGTTGAGTATGTGAGAGTGTGCAATCATGCAAAGGAGGCTCCTTAGATGTGCCTCACCTTTTGTAGATAATCTGTCCTCTCCTTCTTTTTGTTTCGACAGCGAGCTGCAGCCACTTTGTTTTTCTCCCGCCTTCGTTTTCTCCTCTCTTCCTCCTCGTCTCTCTAGAGACAGGCACAAGAGTTTTAAACACATCTTCAGGCACAATTAATCTGCCATACAATAGCAGGCAGTCCATGAAGAGAGTAAGGATGGAAATGTGAATATTAGTATTTAACCTACTGGGCTCTTCTTTGCTATCACTGTAAACAAGTCAAAGTGACATTTCCCCAAACCAAAGACCTTTTGGTTTGTTTTTCCCTCCACATTAGCGTGCAAGTCCTTCTGTTTCAGTCATGGTATGCATAAAAATAGAAAAAAAGCATTTTTAATCTGGCACAGTCTGGCATGCCTAAGCATCCTTGAACGCCAGGTAATTGATGAACCCGACATGTTTTTTTTAAGGCAGGAGAAGTCAAAGCTCCCCAAGAAAACCTATGCAAGTGTATGGAGGACATGTGATTTCTCACGGACATCCAACACAGCGGGAAGGTTCATATAAAAAGCCATTTCTTCTCATTGTTTTATATATGTAGGGTGTTTTTTTTTTTAACTCTATTTGTAAACACTACTTTGGGACAGCATTAAAAAAAAAACTACCTGTACTTCTGCCACTATTACTAATCTACCTGCTCTATAAGCTACATGTCCCTTTGTGTCCACTAGATGGTCCTGTTGAATAAAATATAAACAGCAAACACATTTCTTTAGGATACAGAAGCGAGATTTTAAACACAGCCAGCAGAAAATTTCCATGCCTTTTTTTTTAACAGCAGATACATTAAAAACACACCTTGGAGCCACTTTTTAGAAATGACCTTTTAAAAAGAACATGTAAGCTGAGTAAAAACTTAAAACGTAGCCTTAGTTTAAAGGATAACGGTTATCAACTGCTTAGTGTGTCCTATACCTCAGTTTTGATTATTAGAGGCCTCTTCCCCAGACTATCCAGGAAATGCAGAGGTGACAGCATTGTCCCAAACTCCTGGAGGTCGCCAAATTTGAGCTTGTCAGTCAGCGTGGTGGCTGTGATCCCAGCCAGTGGGCCCAGGCTGGGCAGGGAGCCTGCTGTGACAGAGGGATCTGGGATTTGTCCTGGCATCGTGTCAGACTCGGTCGTGACCACAGCTAGGCGGGAGAGGGAGAAAACGGGAGATATACTCAGACAACAAACCAAGTCAGATTAAGGAAAACACATAAAAAACTGAATACATTACAGGAATGCTTTACATTTATGAGTTGATAACAAATATAAGTGCATTATGTACCATCTGTTAGAGAGCTTCAATGAATCATTTGCAAGAGGTGGACTGATGTTTTTTTTATTCAATTTTGCAATATTTTCTAAAAAAAAAAATTCTAAAACTTCAGGGATCATGGCAAGAACGTACATCATCTAATGCTACAAGGCCAAAAAGAGAGGTGAACAACACTGCAAAGACTAGACTCAAACAAATTCTACTTTATTCCAAGGGGCGCTAAAGGTAGCAGTTGCCAAGAAATAGTTACAGGGTGACTGTGATTTCCTGAATATGAGACATATCGAGGGGGGAGAGCCAAAATTGAGGATAAAGACGTGAAATTATGCAGCCAAAATATAGCATAATGCAGTAACGTTTAAGAAAATAGTTTGCTTTCTTTAGCTGAAAAACAAAGTTAATGCGACACTGTTTGAACACATTACCACAGTTTTGCACAGGCAAATATGTAGACAGGGACACTTCAGTATATACAAAGACAGTGAGAGCCACCCAACATACAGGAAGTTACTACAGCAGCTCAGCGGATGTCCAAGTCACATGAAATCCCCCCAAAAAACTTCTGTCTGATGTACCTTTATCCCACATTACAGAAACAACCAATGCAAATTCTAATTAAAATATATAACCACAAGAAACAGCAATCTGGCTTGGTGTTCTTTGTGTAGACTAACGTTTATTAAAGAGGAGGGTCAAGTCTCAGTGGCTCTCCTCAGAACATGAACTCACAGGCTACATAATAATCTCACATGGGAATAACTTTTAGTTTTGCAACTTCCTCAAAGTACAGGTCATAAAGACCAAGAGGAAGTAGAGAGGCCATAAACAACATAACACTCTGCTTGCAATTAAAGCATAACAGCCATGATAAAAACGGAGAAATAATGTGTGAGCAGTTTAGCTTGAAATGAAAGCAAAAACACTTAAAGCCAAATGTAACTTTTGCTTATCATTTTATCCTCAAAATAAAACCCCAAACACACATTATGAGCCAGTGACTGCCATCTGAATGTTGATGCAGGGTGGTTTTAAACTTTCTCTACTAATAGTCACTTTATTAATGGCTAATCCTAAATGTCCCATAGAAACAACTCGCTTGATCATGGTGTATTATCACCAGACTATTTGTTTACAATGCTGAAACCCCCAGGCTATGCATGAAAGCACATTTAGAGCTGTTTAATAATGTGTAGTAATCGCTTGACCAGTTATATAGTGGTGTAGCATGCTGAATTGGTCAACTTGAAAGCGGAAGTTTTTTTTTTCTATGGTGCGGCATTAAGCCCATCTTACGTAACTTTGTGTTTCCATCAGAGACCTGCAGTGATAAAATGTTACAGCTTTCCGTCCACAGCCGCTCGGATAACCCGTATTTTGAGAATCAGTGCGAGGCACTAATGTAAACGGCGGACTAGACAAAACAAGAACATTTTGTTCTGAATTGTGCACGCCGTGATTCATGAAAAACGAGCATGCAAACAAAAGAAAATGACCTTTCTGCAGCACGATCACTAAAGCTGTCAGGTTTGCTTTAACAGAGAAATTCAGACAATGCATCGATCGCACCGTATAATCGAAAACATCAGACCTGCCCGCTGCCTCTTCGCAAACTATGCTCGTTATGACCTATGTGTGGCGCGCCAATAAGCTATTCAGCATGTACCAAAAATAAAAAATAAATAAATAAATAAAATATGCAGCTCTCGACTTCTGAAGTTTTGTATACCGACCTGACTTTGATCCCAGGTGCAACAAATGTCCTTTCTTCTGGTCAGCCGAGGGTCGAGAGTATATTTTAAAAAGTGGAAATCGTTGCATCAGCCCGATTTTAAACGTGATCCCAATCTGGGAGGATTTGGGAATGCGGAAATTAGGCTATGCCAGCCAAACGTAAGCAGGGATGTTAGAAAAAAAAGTAGCCTACATAGTGGGGGCAGAAGTGGGGAAGTCGCACCGCTCCTCCCATAAAGAAACAGGGAGGCTGCATACTGCTGCTGCCGCTGCAACCACAATAATACGACTCAGATGCAGGCCTGCGCTGGAAAAGCAGTACGGCCACTGATCTACAGTGAACTCCCACCTCCTCTTCTTCAGCAGCAAATATCTAAAGGGTACTACAAATAAAAATATATTTGTATTTGAAATCTTTTAAAGGAATTTCACTTTAAGTTTCTTTGGAGGAAAAACCCCCTCATAATTCAAAGTCCACAAACTGATCAGCACCGAGCACCACTGTGAACGCAGATTTATTGTAGTTATTCAGCAGCATAGTTAAGCAATATATGCCCATTTTACTTTTTTTAATTTAAACAAATAAGTCAAAGTCTGAAAGGTAAAAAAATAAATCATAAGTTACATCTTGATAAGATATATATATATCTATATATATAATAGTATATAGCACTGAATGTTTTCATGGAAAACTTTCAACATTTTAACAATGAGGTCAAACCACACTTGATGAGGTACGCAGGTACTTAGATGGATATGTAAATACATTTACATCAATCAGTACACTACTGACACCAAAAAACACAAAACCATACTGTTACATTAAATTCCACGTTACAGCTTAGATCTAGTAACAGATCAGATATGAGCTTTGAAAATTATTTGGAATTTTTCAGCATGCGTTTAAAATCAAAACTTACTTCAGTCCTTTCGGTTAAATTAAAAGCCATGCTTTTAGCTACATCACTCTGTTGACTATGTATCTGAAGACAGTTTATATGTTTGCTTAGTCATGTACAAGACTTTTCATGAATGTGTTCCTTGAAGCATTACAGCATACGTTGTTCATATCATTTCAACGTCGGGAACCTGCAAACAGAGAGACCAGAAAGAGATCAAACAGATCAGCGCCTCTTTGCATTTTATAAGGCTAGGAGAGTCGGAGAGTTGAGGATGTCGACAGAATCGCCCTTGCTTCCTCCACCTTTATGGCTGTCTAGTCCCTCTGTGAGAGAGTCCAGCTCAGGGCACGCAAATGTGAACACAGACAGGTAGCTGCTGCAGCTAGGGGTGGAGGTGACCACGGGAGTGCTGAGAGGCTCCAGGTCGCTGGAAACCGACTTATACAGAGTCTCCCAGTCTGAGACCCCGAGAGAGCTACTCAGATCTATGTCTGGCACGGATCGAGCTGTCTCCATGGGAGTCTTCTCCTCCAGTGTGGGTAAAATATTGTCCAGTAGCCCCTCCTTAAGGTCCAGGGAGGGCTCGAGATCACAGATGTTGATTTCAGCACTTGCACACAGCAAAATATTCGAGTTCCCAGAGATGGCTGTGGACGGATCGCTGGGATCGTCCATGTCTTGGAGTGATGGAGCTTCTTGCGTGCCATCCTCTGGAATCCTGTCCTCGTCTGGACTGGGCGGTAGGCCTGGAGACCCTGTGGACTCTTGGAAAATGGATTCAAGCTCTTCTGACACCTGGCACACCGGCTTATGTGTAGCAAGAATAAATTCGAGCCGTTCTTTCTCTTTGATTAGGTTGGCTATTTCGGTCTCCAGGGCAGCCTTTTCCTCCTCCAGCTTGTCTGTCTCCTTTAAACAGATCGACACCAAAAAAATCATCCATGTGGAAAATCAAACAAACAAACAAAAAGCAAAACACACCGCAGTAGGTGTAAATGACAGCTGAGCAAATTAATCACTGTTTACTTACAGCTTGCAGTGTATCTGTGAGCTCCCTCCTTCTGTTGCGACACTTTGCTGCAGCCATTTTATTCCTCTCCCTTCTTATCCTCTTCTTCTCCTCCTCCTCAGGAGACAGCTGGGATGTAAGGGAAATAATTCAGTCATTACCACGAAGAATCCAGCCATTTCTTCCCCTAATCCACAACACCCGCTCCCAGTTCGCCCTCTGAAGAGTGGCAAAAGCATGTTTCACTGCAATGCGTCTAAAAATAGACTATTGTTGCAGACTTGCTGTGACCTGAATATAAATTGACTGCCTAAGGAAGGCACACAGCCCGCACACGGCACCAGAGGAGCATGCACAATAGCTCGGCTGCACACAAGAAATTCAGATTGGCATATGCAAATTGACACTATTGACTGTTCTGTCCAATAGCAGGTAGACTTCATCGGAGCTAACCTACCTGCTCTGTTTTCCCCTTTCTGGCAGCATTTTTTCCCTTACTCCCGCCCGCTTTGGGTGTTGCCTGGTGAGAGCTTCGCGGTTCATTGGCTTGCTTGCTACCCAGAGACGGGGAGACAGATGTAATAATCGTAGGCTGGACCATCCACTGGAAATCTGGGGTAGAGGAAATTGCTGTAACCGTTGGAACAAATGGAGTGTCTTCAGTGCTCATGTCTTGGCAGACCTCCTGAAAAAGCAGAGATAGTACTGATAATGAGGACTACAGTTACATTTATTCATTTATACCAGAGGTTTCACGTGTCTCTGACTGTGATGCTGAAAATCAATAAAAGCCTCTTAATCATTTGTTTATAGTCTAAAACAGAAGATACCCTGCATGTGGTGTCTCTTCTTGAAATATACCCGACCAGAAATAGCCTTCTCCCAGATCAATATTTGACTTTATCATTGTTTCTGACGTCAACACTGACGCAGAGATGCTGTGGAGTCTCCTGAATGGATTTATTTTTCTCAATGAACCGCTGCATCGACACGCTTGCATTTTGGTCCCAGGACGTCGGAATCATAACAACCGACCTACAGGGCTATTTTGTCACATTTCCACATGCACAGATTTCCGATGTCTCACGTCTTATAGGCATATATGTATATATAAATATGATGGTTTAAAATTAACCGCATCCAGTTAATTTAAATCTTATCAATCAGTTCCCCTCCCCCTCCCTCAGAGATGAAAGCATTTGAGCATCCAGTCTGTGGCTCACTTTAAAAAATAAAAGAGAGAGAAGTAGAGAAAATGGTGATCTTTAATCTGTTTTAAACGGGGTGCCTCTTGGGTAGCGTGTTAAATAAATGATCAACAAAGCCATTCATACCTTTGCATTGCTCTCTGTGGAGGACGCTGGAGAGCTCGCCTCCTCTGGCGTCTTCTGGCAGAGTGTCCCGACAGGAGACTCTGCCCGGCAGGTGGGGGAGACTGAATCCATGTCAGGCGTCAGGTTGTTTTGATACATCACGAGGAGAAAAAAAAAGAAAAGAAAAAAGAAAGAAAGAAAAGCAAAATCACACACGCACACACACGAGTCCTGATTAATGACAAATATGACTGTGGCCTTCCGCTGGGGAAGAGCAGCTCGGGTCTTTTCTCCAGGTATAGTCTACCTGGTAACTGGACGACTAGAATGCAAGCCCCTCCTTTTATGCTCTGCTAGAATTTTATGAATGAACCAAGACTGTACCATCCGCGGACGGGGGGTCAGACTGACAGCCACATAGGCATATTTTGGAGTAAAAGGCCATCCTGTTGACATTTATCCACCATTATATGCACTCCATGAGCGATATCTAACACTTTATCCCCTTTGGTTTGTTTGTGTTTACACCAGTTAGACACCGCAAGATAACCAGTCCCCCCCCCCCTTCTCTCTCTCTCTCCCATTCACAAAAATGGCTATCGGCCTCTTATTAATGCAATATGGGATGAAAAACGCGAGTCTATTTATAAATATGCCTATGTAACCATTTCCTGGGCGATAAAAACTTAACGTCGTGCTGTATCAATTTAGTCAAAGGTTAAATAGAGCCGTGGTGGACACGGCTCATCTTCAATAAAACCTCATTTGATTCCAAGGTCAAGTGAACACGTTTTGCTCGACCATTTTAAAATACACACTGCAGCTTAGCATTTATATTTAGCTCCATAATTTATCCGAATCCAAAAACTCATCTCATCTCCATTCGCCATTTCACATTGATAAAATGCGGACTATGCTGGGAGGTTTTAGCTGTGTGACAGGCATCTGTTGTCGAGCTCAGGCTTTTTTCCCACCGAAGATAAGAATCAGGGATTGTTCGCAGACATAATGAAATGATGCTGAATTGTTTACTTGGGAGGGACATGTGGGGGCGGGCAAGTCACGTGGCATGACCCGGAACTGTGGGGGAAGAAGGGGTCTGCAACATAGCTGCTCAATACTCCAATCACAACAAAGGAGCAGCGCTGCGTCGATGCTGTGCGCCTACTGTACCCGACAGCGCTCTCGCTTCAAGTCTCTCTGCCGCCCAACTCTAGAACACGTCTGCAAGAATGTGCTGCTGCAAGGCGAGGAGGCCTGCAAAGACACCCAAAAGCTGCTATACATTTTAATTTAATTAAACATAGCGCTCCAATTATTATTAATTCACTTTTTACCCCTTTGCTCCAACTGGGAATTATTTAAATGGCACAGCCTACCAGAGTACGGTTACTGATTACGATCATCCCTTTATGACCACAGTGCACCATCTCCTGGTGGCTGATTCAAGCACGTTAATGCACCATGTCACAAAGCTTAAATCATATCAAACTGGTTTCTTGAACATGACACTCGTGTCCCCATACAAATGACCTGTGTAATGTTATCATATCACTATGGTCAACAATCTTGAATGTTTCCAGCACCTTGTTGAGTCTGTGCCAAAAATAATTAATTAATTATAAGAATTTCTTATAGTAATATCTATTATTTTAAATAAATTATATCTCAATGAGCTATCAGCAATTTTTTTTGTGAAGTAACATAATAGGCAAAAAAATGTTTGTGGGAACTGAAAACTCCCAGAATAAAGTTGTTAAACTGAACATGATGCGCATGTGGAAGCAAAGATGTGAAGGATTTTCATAGCACTGACATTTATAACATTATGAGCACCACACGATAAAATCCAAACTACTACAGCTAACAAAACTTACTGTTACTCACATCATGTTACATACGTTATACTTACAGTCCTCTGAAAAAGTATTTCCCCCTTCTTGATTTCATGGGTTTTTGCATATTTGTCATACTTGCATGTTTCAGATCATCAAATAAATTTTAAGAACAAAGAAAGATAACCAGAGTAAATAGAAAATGCTGTTTAAAAAAAAAGTTTATCAACTGTTCTTGGCCTATGTGAAAATGTAATTGGCCTCTAATCCTAATAAGTAGTTGCGTCACCCTTGGCAGAAAGAATTACAACAAAGTGTTTGTGATAACTGGCAAAGAGTCTTTCACATCACTGTGGAGGAAATTTGGCCCACTCTTCTTTTTAGAACTGTTTTAATTCAGCCACATTGAAGGGTTTTCGTGAATGGTCTGTTTAAGGTCAATGGGACTTTTTAACAAGGCAATTACTTTTTTATATGTGGCCAGGGAGGTTTGGATAGCTTTCCCCCCCCTCAACATATAAAATAATTAATTGAAAACAGCATTTTATATTTAGTTGGATTATCTTTGTCTAATATTAAAATTAGTTTGATGATCTGAAACATTAAGTGTGATAAATATGCAAAAAAGGCAAACAGGCTTTCACAGTGCTGTATATATCTTACTATGACTTTCTGTTGCTTTAGATTACAAGAAAAAAGCTTGAGCCATAGAATTTGGGCAAAGAAACAGGAATATCTGAACCATTTAATAAGTTATGAATCTTTTTTTTTTTTTTTTTTTTTTTTTTTTTTAGAAACAAAACAACACATTTAAAAACAAAATACACACCCTTAAGTATTCCCATATAGCTTCCATGCTTTATACATTCTTCTCAACTTTCGGAGGTTGGGTTTCTGGACTTCCTGCAAGGACAACAATACTTAATCATCATCACAATATTGCACTGGACAATTCCTTGAATCTGACTTTTAGTCCAGAGTTCAAATGTGGAATGTGTTCTGGTACCGTGTGGTCTTTGTCCAAATGAAGGACATCTACGAGGGGAACAATAGATGGACGGCCATGAGCACACTGGAAGGGCAGCTGGCAGGCAGACAAGGATGCCACCAAGCTGTAGCATTCATCTCTACTTAGGGTGTCGTTGAATTTGATGGCACCTGTTCAATGCAAGCATGTATAAAAATAACAAGCATAAAGAGGCTCAGAATCACAGAAAAAATATATTCAAGGCCTAAGAGAAGCTGTTTATCTTTACCGTGGCATGCTAGTGAGGCGAGCACTTTCAGAACAGTGAGAGGCAAAGTTCCTCTCACTCTACCTGTTGAGCGGAGTAGCTGGGGAACGAAAAAAGAGACAAACCAAATATATTACTCCAAAACAAATAGTACATACCATTGTGCATCACAGAACTTTAGTACATAGGAAAACAGAAAAAAATCTAGCTTACCTCAATCTGCTCTCGAAGATACTCCTGTCAGATAAAATTAAGCAGTACATATCAGAGAACAGCTTTGTAAAAGCCTCACTTAGCAAAAAACAGTGAAACAGTAAACAGTTTTACCTCAGCAATTGGCTTTATAACAGATGGTCTTCCTCGCCTCAGCTCATTACTCTCTTTTTCCATAAAACACAATGGCACTTTCCCGACAAACACTTTTAGATCTGCTGCCCGTGAAAAATGAACTTCCAGGCCCAAACTCCTTAGATGTGGCTGACAGGACCTGTAGGAAAATACAAGAACAGTCTATGAGTACTAACTAAATAACATCTGAACACAAACTCTATGTACTACTGCTAGTCTACAAAGCTTAAGCATGTGGTGCAAAAAAATACAACAAAGTAGTATACTTGACCATTTATTAAATTGTATCTCTAGGCACTTTGTTTTTCAGAATGACAATGACTCCAAACACACTGCCAATACAGTAAAAGCATGCCTGGATAGAAAAAAACATGCTGGAACACTATCATTCATGGACCGGCCTCCCTAGAGGACTACAACATTACTGAAGCAGTGTGGGACCATCTTGACAGAGAACAGAACAAAAGGCAGCCAACATCCAAAGAATGTCCTTCAATAAGTCTGGAAAATCATTCCTGAAGACTACTTAAAGAAAGAAAAGCTTGCTTAAAAGACTTCAGGCCATTCTTAAGGATAAAAGTGGTCACCAAATATTATCAGAACTGTACAAACTCTGTTTTTGCCTCATATACTCTATTTCCATGAACGTTTTCAATAAACAACTGCACCTATTTCCCATTTTCCTAACAAAACATGAAGAAATGAGGGGTGTTTGAAGATATTTACTATATGTATTCTGTCTTTGCAGGCTTTCCCTCTTTGCTTGTTGCCCAATACACCCAATAGATTTACATACCTAAGCAGCCTTATCTCCTCTTCTGTTACACTGATCCCAAGAGGTGGCAAAATGGTTGAAGTACACAGGCATCTCTCTCCTGGGACATCTGGGTCATCTTCATATGAATCTGTGACAGCACAAACAGCTATGACTGCAGAATTACAATAAGGACCCGTTAACAGCATTATCAGTGTTTCAATAACAAAACTAAACTACTGTTCACTTCTTCTTCCTTTTTTTTTTACCTGCAATTAAATTTTCAAGTCGCACTCTTTCATGTGCAGCATGTTGATCTACCAGCACCAACAGGTTTCCTGTTTTGTAATTGAAAATGTACAAATAAATAAATAAACATGTCTCAAGAAAACAATAAATGACAAAGATTTAATGTTTCTAACTTCACCTTTAGTTTCAGTGTGTTCCACCAGCTCGTCATCCTTAGTACTAATAAGGCACGCAAGAAACTTTTTATCCACCTGATGAATAACCTATAAGAGAATTGCATCACAGCTTTATGACAGCGTTTTACTGACATTTGTAAAACTGCTAATAAAAAGTGGTTAAAGCTGAGAGATTAATTTGCCTTCATGGAGTGAATCATAGACTTAGAGAAGCGGTATGGAAAAAGGACGTTGTGGATCTTTACGGCCAGTCCGTCAGCTTGTCCACTGGAAATATCCACACCGACCTGTGGAGGGATGATGTAGTATCAAAAACAAAACCACCGAAGTGAAATCTGACTTTGTGTTTTGCTATGAGCCAATCAGTTCGAGTCATTACTAAATCGAATTAATACAAAGTAAAAACGTGTTTCCATTACCATTGGAGGGCGGACAAACACGGGATTATTCCATTTTGAGTACAATGAAAAAAGTGAGTTTGAGCTTTCACCAACATCACCTGTAAAGACGAGATAATAAAAGGCTGCAAATTATCAACTGCATTTTGTACATTATCTGAGGTCATGACCTTACAACCTACACGCTTATAAATCTGTGAGGTACCCCTACCATCAGGCCCTGATCTAATCAACCTTTCTGGTCTGGATTTAGGCAGGAATGGCAACACTAGATCCACCTGAAATGGGTAACACCTGTATTCCATCCCTACATGGACATGACGGCATGCATTAAAACAGTAAACAAATGATCTGTATTAATGTGCATATGTGCAATTTTGTGTGCTAACTTACCCATTTCAGAAATGACACTAACTGCTAAATTGGTGACATCAGACGTGCAGCGCACTTGAGTTTCCTCCATAGCTGGGTCCTCATATTTGCTGAGCCCGGTCACTCTGTTCACATAAACTGTCTTTCCGACAGATGCGTCGTACTGTTGGAGCCAGTCGCTCGATGTGATATCCTCTTCATTCATAGCAAGTTCAGGGTTTAAAATGCAACCTGAGGCTGGCCTCACATTGAACTCAGGGTCACAGGGAATCTCATTGCTATCTTGGTTACCGTCAATTCCAGTACTGACACAGATAGTATCCTTTGAGATGTTTCTGGAAAAATCTAATGATACCTCTAAATCATCTGTCCCATGTTGTTTCAAATGACGGAGTTTAGCTGCCAAAGATGTTTTACCTTGGTTCTGTGCTGATTCTGGTTTTATCTTAGTGAAAATAGAGAGAGTTGGCGGGCTTTGGAGGCTGTTCTTTGCCTCATCTTTGTCCATCTCATCTTCTCGTTGAACTTCCTGGAAAATTGATGTATTCAAAACGACGCGGTCTGTCTGAGGAGTGTCGTTCTTCAAATGAGCCTTGGGTAACTGTGATTCGAGTTCACCAGATTTAACACATGTTCGTCGAAACTTGTCAAGAGATCCAGACAATTTATGGCATGAAATTATCTTGGAAATCTTTGAGGGGACAACAGAGGAAGAGTCTCTGTATTGTTTCTGAGAAGATCTGCTTGTGTCTAGTGAGATTTTGCGTTTCGCAACAGAAGCTTTTTCTTCAGATTTTACTGTTAAACTTTCCTCCTGAAATACTGGCCTATTGTTTTGCAAAAGGTCCTGAGTCTGCAGACTCTCTTGAATATATTGATCAGACAATCTGACCTTTCTCTTACTTACTAAAGTCTGTGCATGGCAGCTTGTATCCTGACAGTCAGGTACTATTCTCTCAGTGTAGTTTAAAGCAGGCTGGGCTTGTTGAATGAAGCTGTCATCTCCTTCTTTTAAAAGTAGCTCTCTTGAAATATGCAAAATATTAGAACCTTCCCCAGCTTCACTATATGCGGGCTCCACTTCTTTATTAATTTTATAAGATAAAGGTTCCACTGTAGCCAGATCAGACATCAGCTCATCGCTACATGCATTGTTTAAACCTTTTTCACTGTGTACATTTTGCAAATCATTTGTACTTATCTTTTGCTGGCCTGGTTGTTCACTTTTATCCGATCTAGCCTCCAGGCAAACACCATCTTTAGAAACACTGTGACCTGTGTGATTACGATGAACAGATTCAGATGCCAGTCTCGTGCCAACGCTACAGTCCATTGTAGAAATACTGGTAGCTGTTTGGCCACCTTTGTCACTGTTCTCTTCTGGTTCTGTTTTGTCAGTTCCAAACACTCTTGGAGATGCATAGTCCAAGTCGTCTTGAGTAATGACAGCCACCAAGTTCTCCCTCCTCAGAAAAGCTTTCACTGCTTCTTCAACACAGAGCAAAATGCCATCCCAGTCTTTGAACTCTATTAGAGTTTTGGCAGGCTCGAGGGAAATGTCATACTCCGAGTAAGAGCATTTAATGTTGATGATATACACTCCATACAGATCTTGGCTTCGCTTGTGCTTTGGACTTCTGATGACAGACTGCCCATCTGGACTGTCATTCTTCTGGTTCGAACTGGTAAGTCGGCGCAGGAGAACATTCAGCAGCTTGTGAATACGTGTTTTCAACAGCAGTCTTTCATTCACATACAGGAACTGTAAGCTGTTGTTGTAGTGGCCCTCTCTGCCAATGTAACCCATCACTTCAAACTGTTTGGATGTGTGGCTGATTTCTCCCAGCTTCTCTGCTCGCCCGAGATTATGTATCTGAACAAACCTGTGATAAGTGTTTCTTGCTTTCGGGAGCTGCACCATCATGGCTCCTGTGCAGTCATTCTTCAGGGTGAAGGAAACGGAGGGGTGCATCAGGGAAATAGCTTCCACTCTGTGCCTGATCCTCTCACCCTCCAGGACGGCATCAACCCTCTTCCTTCGGACAGGCATGTTGTGGAAGAAGTTACAAATGATGACAGTTGTGCCCGCTGAGGGTCGAGCAGCCTCTGCTTCAAAGACCTCCAAGCCCTTCCCCTCCTTGAATATTTTAACGTGTGTTTTTACAGATGATCTGGTCCGGGAGGAGATTTCAACAAGTGTGGCTAAAGAAACTAAACTCGCCAAGGCTTCCCCTCTGAAACCATACCACCTGAGGTTGTCCAGGTCCGCCACAGAAGTGCATTTACTTGTGTGGTATCTATTCCCAACACAGTCCATGTCCTCGGCGCTCATCCCAGCACCGTTATCGATCACCTGAATTTTAAATGCCTCCATGGCCATTCGGACTCCCACACAGGTCGCCCCGGCATCGATGCTGTTTAAAATCAGCTCCTCCACACACTGCTGAAGCGAGGGGATAGCGACACCGGAGCGAAGCTTCCCCTGAACCTCTTTGGGTAAACACTTAATCATAATGGGAATTAAATTCAGTTCTCTTTGTATCTATGGTCTATCACCTGTACCGCAAAGTAAGAAGTTAGTTAACCGTTGCTAAGTAGTTAATGCTAGCTAATTCCAAAGGGGACTTTTTGACAGCGACACATTTTGAAGTAAAACCCTCTTTCATATTTCATTAAATATGATAAAAATATTTAGCATAATAAAACCATGCCCTCAAATACCTCAGCTGTTGTGTACAGTCAACGTGAAACAAAAACACAGGCCTATGACTGCTTAAAACTGGCTAATATTATAATACTGCCACCTTCTGGTGTGGTTGAATTTACTGCTGCGTTCGCGTCGACTCGGAAACGTCTATCCGTACGATAATCAGTTTCCTTTTTTCTATCGTTTCATCAATTCGTTTAAATGACTTCAGCTATATACAATGCTAATATTAATGTCTACAGTTTGTCATAGTCACCCCGTTCGATTGTTTTCTCTTGTACCTTTGTAGCTGGGAATTCGGAGCTTTACTGGAAAATTTCGATCTCCGCGTTGACTTGAATGTGCCATGTTCTTCTTTCGTAAGTTAGCCTGCTTTTACTGCATACCGCCACCTCCTGTACGGAGTGTGCTGTTCAATGTGTTTATACACCCAGTCAGTTTTCCTTTCTGCAGTTAAGAAGTCAACAAAACAATTTCAGTCACATCTCCCTCAGTTAGCTTGCCCACTGTATGCCTCGATATGGATAAAACTCAAGCAAGAGTGGCCAGGCCTGCAACATCATCCTAACATGTCTCGATACATCAAGTTACAGTGGAAAAACACGTTTTATTAATAACTTTAAATGCCCCGTTTGTGTACAAGTGTGCCAGTAAGTCTGCACAGACACATCAGATACACCTGTGTTTTTCATACCAACATGAAGTCAAATTATTTGCTGACCTACCGACTTTATTGGTATGTATGGCGTTTACCTGTTATCTTAAACCAGAAGACAGAACAATATCAGGGTGTTTGTCCTTGGAATAACTGAGCTTGTATCAGTATCTTGATAATTTAGCAAAATAGTTTTATGTCACCTTATGCGTAAATAGTCTTTAAGAACTTCTGATGAACCCTGAAAAGGTGTTATTATTACAGCTTTCTTTTGAAAATAGGCAAGCACACACATGTGCCTGTTTGCATGACCATGAGAACAAATATAATTTTGTTAAAGGTTTCTAAAAATAAAAATAAAAAATTTGAACAGTGTAGCCACCTCCGCTAACCACTTTAAATGCAGAGTATAGGTCCTTCACAACCAGGCATGTTAAAGCTGACTGAGTTGAATATTCCTTTACTGCTGTTATTGCAATAAAATCAGACAATGTGAGTCCCAATGAAGGAAGTTTCCATTTATTAATGTTGTTACATATTCTGTGAACATTTAGGAGATCAAACGAATGCAGTACACCTCTTCCTCCCATTCAGTTTAAATGTTAAATTCCAACCAGTAAAAACAAAAAAGACTAAATAAATAAAACATCTGCATAAGTTAATATTAAAGACACAGTTATTTTACTACGTTGAAAGATGAATGTTCTAGGCTGTCAACTTCTTTCTCATTCTTGAACTCTGCCTTGGTTATGTGTGACTTGGGGCTCCCAGTGGATCTCAGCCATTCTTGCATTTCCTTCACCTTTTTGCGTGGGCCTTGTAGCTGCCCTTGCACTGTTCCTGCTGGTGTGTTTTGGACCCAGCCAACAAGGCCAAGTTTCTTCCCTTCTGCCTGAAAGGAAAAAAAAAAAACCCAAAAGGGATGATGATGATGATTATTATTATTATTATTATTATTATTATTATTATTATTATTATTATTATGGAGATAGTGGAGGGCAAAAGAGATGTCATAATAGTAAGAAAATGGTAATCATAGGAATACAGGGACAATGTCAAACTCACCTGCGTGTATTTCCGAAAAAATACACCTTGCACTCTGCCAAAAATCTCATAATCCACTGAAATTAGGTCTTCATCGGCCATAACGGATCTTTAAAAAAAGAAGAAGAAAAAAAGGCAGTCCTTTAATGCTTAAAGGTGATTTGTAATCACAGGTGACTGAAGCTATGCCAACATAAATAGCACACCTAGCTTAGTATTACTGCTACTTCACTGCGCAAAAACTCGCTATCATTTAATTTACCTGAATTTTATCCAGAAGCCGTGAAACACCGACCCAGTTCCGAATTACAGCAAATTCAAAACATACGAGACGCCACTTCTTCTTCCTCTTCTTCTTTGAGTTCCTAATTGCATTATCGCCACCTACTGGGCTGGAACAGAGGATTACAGGAAGTGGTGTTTGTTTACCGGACCAATCAGAAAACAACCGAGAAGCTTTGTATCTAGGCAACAAATGTAAACGCTGGAAGGACAGGATTTTTAAGGAAAATATACATCGGTATGCTGGTAAGTAGATAGCAGATTATATTTATGAGAGTTTTCTGAAACTGGATTCTATTTTTATCTAATAAATGTTATTGCAGACAAAGACATGAACATATCGGTATTTTTTGAATTATTAGTCGAGCGCACATTTATGGTCTCTGTTATTAAAAAGTTAACAAAACCTATTTTGTGCCGTTAAAAAAACGTTAATAAAAAATAAATAAATAAACATGCTTGTCTCTTTCTGAAGCATTTGACCATCTCACCATGCGCCAAATTAAGCCTAAATATCTGTTGATAAACTGAACTGTAACACATATATTTTTAAAGCAGTACGTTACCTTTGTACTTGAGTTTTTTTCCCCCTGCATTTATAGCTTGTGTCACAAGCATGGATTAAACCTAATCCTAGACTAAAAGAAACATTTAATAAAGGTGATGGCAGAAACATTTCTTTAGAGCTGCTGAAATTTTGGGAGAGGCTGGCCGTCATCCCATTCTTCACTGGTTTAAGATTCGAGGTGCTTTTTCAATTCATGATGTGCTAATTATTTTCATTTGGTGAAAGGTTCAAGCTGCAGGCAGACTAGTTCGGCAGCTCGTGGATGCAGTACTGCTGTAATAGATGCAGTATGTGGTTTAGCATCATCTTTTGGAAATATGCAAGGCCTTCCCTCCAAAAGAACCACATGGAGAAGCATACATTGCTATAAAGCCTGTATGTACCTTTCAGGGTTGAGCATGGAGCCTTTTCAAATGTGCAAGCTGCCATTTGCATAGGCATAAATGTACCCCCATACCATCAGAGCTGAAGGTTTTTAAAAATTGGAATTGATAACAAGCGTAATGGTCCCTCTATTTTTTCCCCCAGATTTCCCCCAAATTCTCTGCATCTTTTGATGATAATATGTACTGTATATGATATGATATTCAAAGGTTTCAAATGCAGACACAGTTTCTTTCCAGATTGGTGAACCTCTGCCCACCGCTACTTCTGAGAAAGCCTGCCTCTCTAAAATCTTTTTATACCCAGTGGTGTTACTGAGCTTTTGCAGATAAATCTAATGAACTAAAAATGTTTTTCAAGAATTTCTTTTACTTACTATTCTGACTTTTTGTTGCCTCATCCCAACTTTTTCAGAAATGCGAAAATATTTTTTTATGAAACAGTAAAACTGCTATTTGATAACATTATCTCAGTTCAAACATGTCATATGCTTTCTATGATCTGTTGTGAATAAAATGTGGGTTTATGAGATTTGCAGATAATTACTACATCCTGTTTTTAAATAAGCTTTTATACATCAACTTTTTTGGAATTGGGGCAATGATATTGAACAAGCCTTACCCTTTCCCTTTTCTGCATGCTTTTTGCACAGAAATTATACAATAAAAGGACCCCATATAGTGGATTCAGGTATCTTTGAATCTGTGGAACAACAGCTTATGATCTGTAACAACAGATGAAGTCATGAACACACATAGAAGAAGAGACACTCCTCAGGGGCACCACAACTTTGCAGGGGAAAGACATGGCGTGCCTAATAGGAAAGCAGATGCAGTAAATCATCCATTTCCAAACAAGCCTGTGAGCCATAGAAGGCCTAGCAGGCCACAAGTTTCACTCGATTTGGACGATTTTGAAAACATCACAGTTTCTACTCAACCAGTAGCCCCTTTGTTACCCCAGGAGCATCATTCACATGGCATCACGGAGACCACCGTAGCCTCACTGTCAGACAGACTGCCCAGTGAAGAGCTGCAGATGACCAAAGCAATCCATGCAAAACAGCTCATGCTGCAGGAGAAGCTCTTGAAAGTTGAATTAAAAATAAGACAAAAGCTCCAGAGGGCCAGCACTGACTATGCTGGAGGGAATGAGAAAACGAGTAGGGAGGAGGGACACAACAGAGGACGAGCTCAGGTGCGAAAAGCTCAAACTAATACCAGAATGTCTGAGCTCCAGTTTAGAGAGCTAGCACGAGGCACAGATAAAGTGATGGAGGATAGAAGGTATGATGATTTTAAGCAAGTTAGGCTCAAACAAGATCAGAGGACTGAGGACAGAATGAGGACTACGAAGGAAGAACAGCAGGATGATTCACAAACTATTCAGCCTAACAGGAAAGGAAATAAAGGCACTTATAAGGTCATATCCAGCAAACAAGAAGTGAATGGAGAACTGAACAAATCAAGATGGCACAATGTGAAAGAGCATACCAGAGGAAGACGAGGAGATGGGACAGATTGGGGTGCTGGTGGAGAAATAGAAAAAATAAAGTACAGTGATGTGCCTCAGGTGAGTCTGCAGAAAACTCCTTATACAGGAAACCACAGAGGGGCAGGAGGAAATCAGCTCTGGGATTCGACTCTTCCATCTAGACCTTCACAATGGAGTGGACCACAACAGGGAGAGCTCATGCTCATGAAGGGCACAGAAGTCAGCCTCCAGCTTTTTCCTTGCAAAGTCTGCAACAGAAAGTTTGCGAGTGAAAGATTAGAGAAGCACGTCCGAATATGTGAGAAGGCGAATTTTTCATGCCGGCAAGTCTTCAACTCGTACGCTAACAGGACCAAAGGATCCCAGCTAGAGCAGTTCCTGAAAACACACCAGACACAACCGTCCAGAGGTAAGACACTAACATGATCACTCACCGAACACTTTGTCAGCTACACTGCTCAGCTGCTCATTAATGCAAATATATGATCAGCCAGTCACGATGGCAGCAGCTCATGGGCAGGAAAACCTGCAGATGTTCAAACTGAGCATCAGATTTGGGAACGTGCCTGGTCTGAGTATTTTAGAAACTGCTGGTCTGCTGGGATATGCAATCTTTAAGGTTTACAGAGGATAGTGATAAAACCTGAGCGGCAGTTGTTGATGCTAAAGCTCAAGGAACAAGCCAGACTGCCTCAAAGG